GGCCAAATTACGATTAAGAAAGGCTTTTTTATCAGTCATTTAATATAGGCGATTTTAATATTCATAATATAATAATATTATAATAATTATTATAATATTATTATATCATGAATATTAAAAATCTCCTATATTAAATGACTCATAAAAAATTCTTTTTTAAATCGAAATTTTAAATAGTATGCAAGAAAATTATATTACTATTAATAAATAGTACTACTATATACATATATACTAATAATAATAATAATAATAATAATATTAGTACTTGTTAATTATATTAAAATTCTCTATTAAATTAATGACAAAAAATCCTGTTTTAATTCGAGCCTCTACTAAATTTCTGATCATTTTATTTAATGGCCAAATTACGATTAAGAAAGGCTTTTTTATCAGTCATTTAATATATTCATAATTTAATAATATAATAATAATTAATATTATAGTAATTATTATTATATTATTATATCATAAATATTAAAAATCTCCTATATTAAATGACTGATAAAAAATTCTTTTTTAAATCGAAATTTTAAATAATATGCAAGAAGATAATATTATTATCAATAATAAATAGTACTACTATACATATATACTAATAATAATAATAATATTATATTAGTACTTGTTAATTATATTATGAATATTAAAATTCCCTACTAAATTAATGACAAAAAATCCTGTTTTAATTCGAGATAACTTGTTCGAGAATAATAAATCTTTTTACTTCGCGCACCGATAGGATGGGGTGGCTGTTTTTGGTAGCAAGGTACACAAATACAAGGACTGCGTCAGAAAACCACCGAGCTGAGCTAATACCCGGCATTCTTATTGCATTCCCGGGCGCAGCTTTGTTTTAATAACTGCGTCGCCGACACGAGTGCCGCTTCTCGACACGCGGGTGTTAATTAAATTTAATAATGCGACCTCTTGTGCGCGCGAATCCCCGGAATTCGCGAGCTCTTTCTCGTTCTCGCCCGCGCTAAGTCCGTTCTATCTCATCCCGTCTCTCCGTTTCCGCTTTCCGAACATGCGCGCTTGTAAGTTAATACGAACCCTTATCTTAAGACAATGGGCCTCATCAATTCCGTCAAGAACGCGGTATTTCGACTCTCCCGCTTAAGCGACACTAAAATTAACCCCGGTGGTACGTGTCTCGATTCCATCGAGTTCCCGACATTTTGTAAATTCCATTACAAAACTACGATAACGTTTCAATTTAATTTTCCGTCTAAAATATCGTATAAAATTGAAAAACGAAAACTAAGTAACGAGGAAAATGAATAAAAAATGACAAAGAATTTTTTATCTTTTTATTTCGTTAATGTAAAACTGTCCATATACGCTTTTAATATTTATCTTAATTTCTTTATGGATAAAGTTAAAAGCGTTGCACATTTCCTGGAAATTATATATCCCTTTTTATTCATATCAATTATATTTCTCTGAAATATTAAAATCGATTTGAAATGTCATACCTTTTTGTTTACGTAAACGTTAAAATTCATTATATGTATAAACAGCGATACTAATATCTCATTTTATTTATTATTATTATCCAATATTTCGCAAATTTTTATGTATCGTTTTATTCCGAATTCTTTCTGTACAAGATGTAATATATATTAATGAGAATTTCTTATATCTCTCCCTGAGGAGTCTCACTTTCCTAAAAATTAAGTTTTAATTTTTTTTTTATTATATTTATTATTGAATCTTTTTTAAATATAAGGGTATATGTTTATATTGTATAAGAAACCCCCTTAATTTTTTTTTTCGACAAAGAGTCATTTCCTAAAATTTAGATGCACCCTGTACGTTCTCTCCTCATTTATTTTTCTTATAAATCTTTTTCGGAATGATTTTGTATAAATCTTTTTTAAATATATATAATATTGTATAAGAAACCCCCTTAATTTTTTTTTCGACAAAGAGTCATTTCCTAAAATTTAGATGCACCCTGTACGTTCTCTCCTCATTTATTTTTCTTATTTATTTCTTACTTTCGGAAGATTTTGTATAAATCTTTTTTAAATATAAGAGTATATGTTTATATTGTATAAGAAACCCCCTTAATTTTTTTTTCGACAAAGAGTCATTTCCTAAAATTTAGATGCACCCTGTACGTTCTCTCCTCATTTATTTTTCTTACTTTCGGAAGATTTTGTATAAATCTTTTTTAAATATAAGGGTATATGTTTATATTGTATAAGAAACCCCCTTAATTTTTTTTTCGACAAAGAGTCATTTCCTAAAATTTAGATGCACCCTGTACGTTCTCTCCTCATTTATTTTTCTTATTTAAATTTCTTACTTTCGGAAGATTTTGTATAAACAACGGGGCAGGGTTATTGTTGAAATAAATCTTCCTCCGTATCTTGGTCTCCCTCGACCTGTCCCTTCGGTCCTTGCGGCTTAACTCAATTTCCCTGCGCCGGTGTAAACCACCACCGGGCGCTCGCCGCTGATATAAAGTCTACTTTACACGAAACAACGACGTTCGGCCCGCACGAGCGAGATGTACAGGCGGTAGCGAATCCCGACCACTAATTAAGAGACGCGCGCGGCTCGTTCGCGCCCGGGGAATTCGGGCTAGTCAGGGTAGTCAGGGTAGGTCTCTCCCGCTCGCCTTGAGAGACGAATGCGCTCGTTTCGCGAACGCGTACTCTTCGGGGAGTCCATTACGCCACCCCGACATACATTCCCGCGCAACGTTAGCGTTACAACGGACAACGGATTTCCGTTATACGAGGAATTATAAAATCCTGTCGGATCTGGATGGACATTTCTTGTATTTTGCACAATTAAAAAGACCGAACACATTTGGCTAAAAAATTATTTTATGTGTGAGACTAATTGAGAGAATTTTCTCTTAGAATTTTTCCTGAAAATTTTATGGGACGAGATTGGAAGAATTTTATAAAAGTTTCTTCGCGATTCATATATATGTACCGCAATAAAGATATTAATATTTACCAAAATATATATATATATATATATATATATATATATATATATATATTATTTATAGAATTATATAAAAGCTCGTCAGATCTGGATGGACAATTCTTGTATTTAGCACTATTAAACGAACACATCGGTCTAAAAAATTATTTTATGTGTGGGACTAATTAAGAAAATTTTCTCTTAGAATTTATCCTGAAAATTTTATGGGACGATATTGGAAGAATTTTATAAAAGTTTCTTCGATTAATATATATTGTATTTACCACAATAATATATAAAATGTTTGATTAATTTTGCTATGTATTTTGTACATTGGAGAACTTTTTCTGATTCCATTATTTGCCACGAGAAATGATATAAAAGCTCGTCAGATCTAGATGGACAATTCTTGTATTTTTCACAATTTAAACAGACCGAACACATCTGTCTAAAAGTTATTTTGAGACTAATTATGCACAGGGAGAATTTTCTCTTAGAATTTACTCTGAAACTTACAGTGAAAGAAGTTTTGTAAAAGTTCCTCTAATTAAATATAATAAAGACATTAATATCTATCACAATAAGATATAAAATATGTTCGATAAATTTTACTGTGTACTCTGTACATTGATAGAATTTTATAAGAATTTTTCTTATTAATATTAACCACAATAAAAAATATTAATCAGCAAAATTCTTAAATACCATGTTGTCCCACAATTATCATAATTTTCAGGCTAAATTTTAAAAGAAAATTCTCTCCGAGTGTATATTCTTGCTTAAAAATATATTCTAATCTTTAAAAAAAAAAAAAAAAAAAAAAAAAATCTGGAAATATTAAATATCTCCGGGATATCATCACGACGATAAAATAAAATCGAAGTGCACAAGTTTTTCGCTCTCGGCAATTCTTCCTTGCAAAAAATCTTCAAGATTCAAGATACGAAGGATCGAACCAAGAACGACGCCAGCGATGGCTCGGGAGATTCTATGAAGAGAGTCCCTGAGAATCCAATTATCCGGAGCAGAATAAAATTGCGACGGCACGAATCGTCCATACGTGTTGCATATATCCCCGAGTCCGGGGAGTAATTTCGCTCCGTAATGCTCCGACGTATGTTGTCGGGCTGTGCTATGTGGTTTCGTCGTGTTTACCGTGGCGATGCACCGTGACGGCGCATCGCCGGGAAAATTGAGTTACGGAAGATAAAACGAGAGAGAGAGAGAGAGAGAGTAGCTCTATGTCGCGGGCTGCATCGTTGCATCCGACAGGATGCTGAAGAGCTCCGGAAGAACCGCGGCATGCCAGCTGAATATTCGCGCACCGCCTTATACAAGGTATGTTCGGCAACCTTCGACAGTGGAATCCGTATATCCCGCTTCGAACGGGCTGATGTTTGCGAAATCCGCTCTCGGTTTACGAAATCTCCAAAGTTTCGCTTAGCTTTACAACAGGGTGTCCAGCAGACTCGATAAAAAAAATTCCCTGACTTTTTCAGATTTTCCACAAGACCAGAAATTCATTTTTTCCCTCACTTTTTAGGATTATTTTTTCCATGTAAATTATATATCTATATGATAAATCAATTAAATGTTAAATTATAAAATCCTCGTCACTATAAACATATAAACTATTTAAATAATCACCTTTTTTATTTATATTATATCAAATTTTTTAGTTTTTTAATTTCTCTATCTCTTTAATTTTTTATATTTTATATTCTCTATCAAACACATTGAAATAAAAAGCACGACGATGAAAATATAAATTACCGAATCGATTTGTAACATAGAAAATTAGCGTGCTGAGAGTCAAGGAAAAGTTTATATTTATTGAATAAAAAATGTTAAATTATGAGACAAATATAGAATAATGTTAAAAAATCCAGATAAATAGTCAAATTCCCTGACCGCTAGACACCCTGTACAATCACTCTTTCTTGATCGATTCTTTAATCATTCTATTTTTTTTTTTTTTTAATTTTAGCGTACTTGGAATCTCTCGTTTTTAAAATTTTAATAAATTATAACGCTATGATTAATAAATTTCGACTTACCGAGACACCCTGTTCTGCGCTATCCTGCCGTGGCTGGGTAACGTCATGTTGCTGTCACTTTTTGACCAAGTGACGGAGTTCTTGGCGTCTGGTAGGTCGACCTTGCCCAGATAAGCCTCGCAGAAGAGCCTCGCCGTACCTCCCAGAGGTACCAACTGCGAGGCTGGGGTGTAAGTAGGTAAGGGTTTTCCTGTGTAGACACCGGATTCTTCATCTGCAATTCAAATAGCGCATCTATGTTGAATATAAATTATAAGATTCGTATAAATATGTATTATAAATAATTAAAATATATGCAAATGGAATATATATTAACACGCGCGTTATATATAATTCGGAATAGACGGATGGAAGTTTTAGGAGGCAATCTGTCTTTGGCGATATTTAATGGCGTTCGATGATTAATACCGTCCCTTAATGTGGAGAATATAATGAATCGTAGGAAAAATGTGAAAATCATTTTAATATCGCTTCGCATTACCACGTTGGTCTCGGCACATCGCCATGAATTACGACTGGCCCGCATTACCATGAAATACTACCCGGCCGTTTATTGTGCCACGTTTCATCCCCCGTGTTCATATTTAATGCGAAAACACTTTTCGGCAGTGTTTTCCCATCTCGCACCGAAGAGGTGATAAAAACCACCTATTTGTCACCCCGAGTATTTTCAAACCCTCTCTAGAATCATCATGAAGTCATCCTTTTCAAGAGTCTCTCTGACAATATCAAATCGTCGATCCTCGTCATTCTTAAATGTCAATTATATGAATAATTGAGATATCGAAGACAATTTCTCGATTAACTTTTAAGAATATTAATTTATTATTCTTAATCAAAAATTCAAGGAGTGATTTCTTAGGGTATTTTATGAAAATTTATACGTCTGATGATTACATGTGAAGCTTATTAATTTATACATTCCGGCATCATATAATATCATATCATATAAATTTTCATAAAATGACCCAAGAAATCATCCCTCGAATTTTTCACAATTTAAGAAGCACCCTGTTATATTTTTATATTAAAATATTGTATTAATTGCTATATTGAACATTTGGGAATTTATATTTCAATTAGTTAAAATCCCTCTGCGATACACGCTTCACCAACATTATTGTTTTCATTATTTTCATCAGAGGACGATAGCTGTTAAATGAATTAATTGGTTGAGTCTACTGGGTTTTGAAGTACGCTGTAGAGTGCGGTATCGAAGTGCACGGAAGTGTGTAGACATCGGGGGCATCGAATGAAAGAAGCCAGTGGATGGTGGATGGCGAAAGGTCATAGGTCGTTGGGCCGGAAGTGAACGGTCGAGTGAGGGATAGAGGAAGAGGAAATGGAGACGGCGCGGGTAATTCAATCAGCACTGATGCAGGGAAAACTCAAAATCAAACAACCATTCTGTTAATCGAAAATGTATGCGCGCACGTAATAAAGGTTCATGTCACTTTTATCAGCTGTCATCGAGATTGATGAGCGCAAAGTTGAACAATCAACATGACAGAGAGAGAGAGATTCTATATTTGAATTACTTCTTTTTTTTTCTATTCCACGTTCTAACATCACGAGTGTCGCAAAATTGAAAGGTGCCTAATAATATTTGCAGTTCGTACACAGAGAGAATTTTCTCTTAGAATTTACCCTGAAAATCAAGATAATCATTATGACATTGGAAAAATGTTATAAGAGTGTTTCTCTAATTAATATTTTCTACAACAAAAATATTAGTATCCATCACAATAAGATATGCATAAAATATGTGCATAGTAAAATTTATTATATAATTAATATTTTTTATATTGTGGCAAATATTAATCAGAGAAACTCTTATAAAATTCTTCCAATTGTTCCACATAATTATTGTTATCATGATTTTCAACGTAATTAAATTCTAAAAGAAAATTTTCTTCGCGCATCGGAAGAATTTTATGAATTTCTCTGATTAATATTAACCACAATAAAATATAAAATATGTTCATAATAAAAAATTTACTATATAACTAATATTTTTTATTGTGGCAAATGTATTAATCAGAGAAACTCTTATCAAATTCTTCCTATTGTTCCACGATCATCATGACTTTCGGGGTAAATTCTAAGAGAAGAAATTTCTCTCTGTGTAAAAATAAAAACACATAGATATTCGCGGGAAAATCAGCCGAAGGGTGCGACGTCGTTAAGTTGAAATGAAGTCCGCTTTATCTTCGAAGATCCTCGAGGTGGTTTATTTTAACGGAGAAGGGTTTCTCGTCCTCGAAACTCGAGAGAAAAAAATGCAGCGCATCCAAACTATTCGCCGCACCGTTAGCATCCGGCGCGTTTCACCGCATCCGGGCAATACGGCATCCGGCCGGCCGGATATTTGGGTGCAAACAAACTGCTAACTAACCCAGGACCGTCGGAATTATGATACATAGGTTGCGCATCTACCATCCGCCGCCATTTAAGCTCGAGCATCGGGGATGGAGAGGATTTAGGGTTGGATAGCGTCAGGCTGGGTTAGCTTGATATGACGATCCTGACGCGCGATCTGGAATGTGTCCAGTCATTTCTTCCGACTCGTCGACGTTATACAGGATGATTCACGTTAAATGCATCTTCGAGGGAGAAAGTATGAAAAATTGTCAATTAATTTTAGAAGATAATAGTATATTGTGTATTAAGTGCGGAAAGTTGACAATTGGTCACGAGTGCGACCATCCCACACGAGTGAACAATTGTCAATCCGCACCTGATACACATACTATTTTGTATTACAAGTGCAGGCAAAGTGGCTTTGTGCGCGTTTTCTGTGCGCGAGATGGCCGATCGCACGCCGCCATCTTGCGGCGGCACGGTGCGGGAATAGCCGTGTTTAATACATTGCCTACGGCTTCAGCCGTGGACAATGACTTTTAACGCGGCTCAGCCGTAAATAATGGCTTTGAAACCGGCTTATTCACTCACCGCGTCGCCGCTAGATGGCGGCGGGGGAAATCGGCCGCTTTCGGCACAGAAAACATGCACCGAAAGTGCCACATTGCCTGCACGTGTAATACAAAAATAATAGAGGGATGAGAAACTATGGTAAAATTCTCGGAAAATGAAAGCGATCGAACTCGGATCTGCGAATAAGAAGAGACGAAGACAACTTTCGGGCTCGCAAAGTGAGTTATTTATTTTCGTCAAAGAGCGCAAAAGACGAGTCTCCCCGATTAATTGGCAAGTAAAGGACGCTCGAATGCGCTCGCTTAAGGCTCGTAATTAATATCGCGTAATCGAATCACGACGATGGCTGGGCTAGACTTGAGCGCCCCGGTTAAATTCGGGGAATTGCCGTCAAAGCGCTTTCAAAGCGGCCCCCGTCATTTTAATTCGAGGACCGAGAGCTGCGCAGGCGGGGTTAGCTGCTGTAACGATTTAATTACACCCGGCGTTAGATGCATATATATAGATAGATAATTCCGCAAGAGGCTAGATGGGTTAAGATTACAGCCAGTTAGATCGCGAAACACGACACATATATATATTCGCGACGGCGAAGAGACCGTCGAGAGCGAGACGATTAATCTCGCTTAAGCTCTCACGTAGCTTCACGTAGCAGCGTCGATATTTATCGGAAACCGGCCAATTTGTGCCTCGCCTAACAGCCAGGTCGTCGTTTCCTGGCCTAAGCCTCTACGGTTCCATTTAGGTCATCCAGATAAAATATTGACGGAACCTAATCTATAACCGATATACCGCGTCTTGGGAGAAACACGACGATGAATTGGCGATCGTTCAACGGTAAAGTGCTATACGAAATTACTCCGAAATATATAGCTCCGGTGCCTCGACAAATTATTAAGCGCCGACGATGTAAACGGATAACAATAAGCTTTCTCTTCCCTTCGGAAATATCAAAAAGTCTCGAGATGCACATCCCCTTTAAAAATCAAACAACGACGAGGAAAGTGTCCGCGTGTTCTTCGACCAATTGGGAATCGATTTTCCCCTTAACGAATATTTGATTGAAGACCGGCGTAGAACTGTTGGCAACACACTACATCAAGTTTTCATACCATTTCGACGCCATCATCGCGAAAACCGTGACGAGGTACATCGGATATTAATGCCCGATTTCGAACAAATGAGAGAGATGTGATACAAATATCCTGTCGCGTCGTAATATGACATTTTAGCTTCGACGTGATTCAAGTGATCCTAAAGCACTATCGTTATATCGATAGAAAGGCGAGGTTGGATTCGGCCATGAATCTTTTCGTGAAAAATGAATTTATGAGTCCATACATTATATTTATGACTCATAAATTTATCAGTCCCAACTACTACAATTTCGACCGACTCTACAGCTTGATGAATCCTTCTCCACGATTAAAATATTAATCTATTAATAAAAAGATTCACGGTCGAATCCAACTTTGCGCCGCATCAACAAAACAGAGAGAGAGAGTTAGGATCATCTTAAAATGGTGCACCGGCGATATTTAAATATCAAATAATATTTACCCTCCCTCAGACCCTTAAAAGCTCTTTGCTTTGAACGCTTCTGCTTCTCGATTTATGACATTCCTGCGTATTTGACGAGACGTCGCGATATCGTCGCCGCTACGTGATCCTGTTAAGGTCCCCGGATCCTTTAAAGTAAGTTGGAGCGGATGAGAGAGAGAGAGAGAAGAGAAATTAGCGCAAGGCGAAATCGCGTTCCGCACGGAGAAACGACGTAACGATGCACGTAACTGCGGACCGATAATCGAATGCAGCCCGGCGCTTGATTAAATCATTCTCCTCGCGTCCCTACATGTGCCACACACACCAAGCAAAATCCTCTCTCGCCCTTCTCCTATTAGTTATTTCATGCTCTCCATAGCCTTCTCTGCGTTTACGTAAGCAACATCCTCCGAAAGCAGAGAGAGATCCCATCCCATCCTTTCATCTACGGGTATATCGAAACGAAGTAATATTGGGAAGAATAAATCGATAAATTATTGAGAGACTAATTACGCGACGGAATAATGAAAGATATATGGGAATTTTTTAATGATTAGCAGTCTCCCTTACTGATGACGCAAAATAAAAATACCGGGAAATTAAAACAGAAGGGTATATTGAGAAATTTTTCGAAACGATTTTCACAGAACTGTCATTCGTTTGAAGATTAGGTCAACTTATTTGCGAGTAATTAAAGAAAATTAAAATTAATGTTTCTTCAAAATTTTATGTAAGCCA